ATATATACTCCGCTGATCAAACTGCGGCTATGCAACTCCATTCGGGTTGTCGCCAGACAGCTATCGCCCGTTGTAAGCGCTGCATTAATCTCATGTCTGTGGGTATAATACAGGTACTTTTCATGGCAATAAAACACTAGCATATGGAGCTGAATCACTGGTTCAATAGTTATTATGGCAGTAGCAAAATTGTGCTTATTTGTTTATGTCTGCGCAAAAGTGTAACACGCATGGCGAATACAATGGCAAGTGTGTTTCATTTCTGGTGTTGGAGAACCTAAGATTATGATTATGGACGCCTGCGATGCATTTTCTATTGCTGTTGCCTGCAAACCGTGGTGTACACCTAATTGTTCATGGCGTAATTTCTCTTTTTCCTATGCTCGTCGGACATTGGCAATGCCAGCTGGCGGGCGAAACACTGGAGGGGGAGGGGGACATCATGGGATTTCCTATTTGAATTCCGTAGGACTAGACACAAGGCAATGACGTCACTGGGGCTTTAATGTGTCATTGGCCCCGTCGCTGCTTGCGCCGTCGCCGCGGCGTAACGGAAATATAGGGCAGACGCAGCATTCAAGGCGATTGAAAGCAAGGAAGCTGATCACTATTAAAAGCTTGATTCGAAGCATTAAGGAAGATCGTGCTGTAACAAAACACAAACTGAAATCACGCTTTTGGTTAATGTTTCTATTATCCTGCAAGCAGGGGCGTAAATTTTATCTAAATGATTCAGCGTAAGGCCAGGACCCAGGCTATGTAGTTTCCTTTTCAGTTGGTGTGGGGGACAGGATGGTGGTGGGACGGCGGATCTCCTCCCCAACTATCAGTTGGTGTGGGGGACAGGGTGGTGGTGGGACGGCGGATCTCCTCCCCAACTAGCTGTTGGTGTGGGGGACAGGGTGGTGGTGGGACGGCGGATCTCCTCCCCAACTATCAGTTGGACGTCGGTCAAATCCAGTAAGAGGCATATTTGTGGTAAAGTGAGCCATTTCCCGCCCCCTCCCCAACAAATTATGTAGCAAAAGTCACGCGTCTGCGTGGACGTGACAACTTGAATCCTGAATACCTTTCTCAACGGCTCTTGGGCCGCTCTATTTTGACGTACTACAGCTTTTGTTTTCAACTTGGTGTCATGGAACAGTCATTTATTTGAGTAGCATGGTCATCAACCGCAGGTAATTTCTGAAGAAGATCGCTGTGATATTTATATTTTTCCTGTTTTGTAGCATTTGGATCAGAAGATGTGTTAGGGGGCAATCAAACAGCGGGGGGGGGGAGCGGGGGGGGGATGCCGGGTGCCGCAAGGAGAACAAACCGACCCCTGCCTCAAGACCGCAGTCTTTAAACCCTCCTGTTCTTGCAGTTTAGTTGTTACGCAGGAGCACAGCTGGGGGACGTCCCATTTGGTCCACATATATTTATTTTTGCCACGGCTGGCTCTTAAAAGAAAACGAAAAATTGGTGTGATGCGTTTTTACCGAGGCGTGTTCACACCTTCCCCTTCCCATGAAGAAAATCTTGGTTGCACCTCTGCTGTTGGTACGAACTTATGGCAAGTGTGCGCGGGGGCTACCGGAACAAAGAAGAAAAAGGGTTACTGTCCCATCATGGGGTGGCCGCAGTGCCAGACAAGGGGTCCTGTGTCAGCATGGGGATCCGAGTCGGGCACGGGCCCGTTTGCTAGAAAGGGATAGTCACGAGCCTGGAATGTCAGCGGGCCTCTTGCATGGTTCGGGACCCCGGACAGAAAGGAGAGATAGGAAATGTGGCAATGAAAAGGCCCGTATTGAGAAAACGTAAGGGTAATGTGTCTGACGGTGGGCCCAATAACGAACAAAAGACCCCACGCCTCGTTTCGCTCAGGGGCCTTTTTTTGTTAAGTGTGATTCCTGACATGTAGTACGTCCCATGTGCGTCACTGAAAGCCGTTACCCCAAGCCAGGCTAACTGCTGCCGTCAGAGAGCGGTCTGCGTCATGAAGGGTACCGGTCCATCATGTACTCCTCAGAGGGCCCCGAAGCGCCCAGGAGCCTAGCCCTCCGGATCACCAGAATGCTGCAGCGTAAGTATGAGGTCCTCTAAGTGTCAGATCCTCAGGAGCCTAGCCCTCCGGATCACCAGAATGCTGCAGCGTAAGTAAGAGGTCCCCTAAGTGTCAGATCCTCAGGAGCCTGGCCCCCGGATCACCAGAATGCTGCAGCGTAAGTATGAGGTCCCCTGAGTGTCAGATCCTCAGGTGCCTAGCCCCCGTGTCACCAGAATGCTGCAGCGTAAGTATGAGGTCCCCTGAGTGTCAGATCCTCAGGAGCCTGGCCCCCGTGTCACCAGAATGCTGCAGCGTAAGTATGAGGTCCCCTGAGTGTCAGATCCTCAGGAGCCTGGCCCCCGGATCACCAGAATGCTGCAGCGTAAGTATGAGGTCCCCTAAGTGTCAGATCCTCAGGAGCCTGGCCCCCGGATCACCAGAATGCTGCAGCGTAAGTATGAGGTCCCCTGAGTGTCAGATCCGTGGCTCCCTCTTTGAACACGTCTGCTGGAATACCTGTATAAAAAACAAAAGGAAAACAGCATTGGGGCCCGCTCAAAACTTGGGCTCCTTTTCCAGGGGCCTTCCATAAAGCCCTGTGCCACCCCTGCTCCACCAATATTTTGGGTGCGACCCCGAGCGCGTGCACATGGGTGACACAGAAACCGCCATTGGCAGAGGCGGCGACGGCAAGAACGGTAAGCTTGACTTTGTGAGCCTGACTTCATGCATCGACACCAAAGTCCCTCTCAATGTGGGCGATCGACTTTAGGTCAGGCTCCTCGAATCTATTCGGAACTAATCGTTTGATAGCGTTACATATTTTTAGGTACAGAAGGAAGAAAGGGTAGCCATTCCCAGCAAATTATGTATGCAATGCAACTGCAACTAACGAAAGCACGAATATCCAGATCGTAATATGCACCGCGCGGGGCTGCGTGCTACGCTCGCTGTGTCAAAACTTCAGTGACGTCACGTCAACGGTGCGCCTATGGGGTGCTAAAAAGCCAGTCGGGGGTATTTCTTACATGTCTTTTGAAAAACTGCTAATTAGCGGAGACAAATTACACACCGCGTAGAGTTTAAGAACTTCAATCCTACAACGCGCGCTGTTTCATGAGACAGTTGCGATTTGTACGTAGTAAAGTCCACTGGCTATTTGCTCTGGAGCTGCCGGCATCCAACTGACCTCTGGAGAACACTGGCTCAGCCGGGCTGAGACCCATTACTTGCAAGGACCGGCCTTGGCTCTTGTTCATATTCACGATGCAGTTATGCTTGATAGAAATTAGGGTGCATTTGAACTAGATGGGAATGGGTCAAATGGGATTGGCGGGACTGGTGGGATGAAGAACTTGGCACCCATTTTCTTTGCTGCCATGACAGTGGCAATGGTGGTGCTTGGGATCCAGGCTTCGAAGAAGTGGGATCTTTTCGTTTCCTTTGGTAGAAGTGTGACCCAGGTTCGAAGAAGTGTCGCTCCTTGCTTGAACACAAGTTGTGTTATGGCAGTCCTGTTGGCTCCAGGCTGCTGACAAACCGCAAGGGGTAGTTTACAGCCTCCACCGCATTTTGGGCAGTGCTCACCAACTTGCAGTCCCTGTCTTTCTTCGCTGGTTCTCCAGAAGCCTTGAGTTAGTATCATCAACGGCGAATTGTTCGGTGCCGGGATGACCCGCTCGCTGAGCCTCACAGTGTCTTAGTGGTGTCATTCTTTCAAGTCGGGAAGACCTTGTCCAAGAAGCCTTTGACAGCTTTTATGTTTCCGCTGGAAAAAAACTTGCTTGTCTGTCTCGGGCCTGGATCTGGCGGTTACCAACTTGCAGGAATTAGATGGCAAACTGTCCTGCTGCGTTGTCGCTATGACCGTGGACATGCGAGTGATGTGTTGCCTGCGGATGCTGGTTGTTCGTCACTTTCTGCTCGTCATGTTGTAACCTATTTCGGACCCCACAGATGTTGCACAGTTGAAACGGACCCCACAGATGAGCAGCTGTGAAGAATCCTGTTTTTGAAAAGTTGGAGCTCTTACGTAAGTTATGTTTGCGAGGTCTGCTGATCGTTATATTTCCGCATAAACTCGATTCGACTCTTCGTAACTGGCAGTTATACAACCGACTAGCACCCGGCAGCCGGCATTTTTTTCAAACACCTTTGACATCTTTGATAACCATATCGCTTTGATGACAACTCACTGATATGTGTTACTCGTTCTGTGATATGATGTATTCACAGGTGCATATTCACAGTCGCCTTCATACTCATGTAGTTTCATTTCACGGACCGCTAAGGTCATTTTGAGACGGGATGCTTTTGGAAGGCACCAAATGGTAGGCTTTAGCGGCGTTGGCACCCAAACCCAGGACCGACAGACCCAGAGTCGACCGTCCCAGCCACCTTACCACCACTGCCCTCACTTGCACCGTCAATGTCCCGATGTTTCTATGTTCCTATGAGTCGGGTTTGCTTGCGCAGCACCACGCACGGTTCTGTGCGATGTACACCAACGTGTTGCATAATCCTTCCTATATCCACGCCTATTTGGGAGATTGTGGTTATGAGACTACCACCGACGTCTTTCGAAATATTACAGAGCAAAGACGAGTATCCCATTTATTGTTAAGCGGGAGAGAGATAGAAGAGGGAGACAAAGCGAGATAAATGTAGCCATGCATGTAGGTATATATTTGCATATGTTCATATTGTTCTCGCTTTTTCGAGTAGATATATATATATATATATATATATATATATATATATATATATTGTTACCAGTCCGCTGCTAGCCCTATAGTTAATTTCACACGCTTAACACGCCGTGACACCGGCATTGAATAATCTTTACAATACTACTGATCCGCCTCGGTCACTCTGGATGAAGATATAACGGGTTGAGAGCTATTAGATGTAATTTCTATACTTGCCGTGATGTGGCTTTAACCCCTGGTGATTCTAGCAAATTTCGGAGGCATTTATTACATCTTATCTAGCCACACCACACCTCTAGAACGAACTGATAAGACAGAATGCGTCGTGCAACGCCAATCTTGCGCATTTCGTCGTGCTGAGCGCCCAGAACGACGCCATAGGTCAGCGAGTGCTCCGGAAGCGATTGCTACACCCGACGGCGTGTGCTCCTGATTGACACTTGCGGAACGTTCCACGCTTCATGTGTAATACCTGGACATGATTTAACGTTACACAAGTTTGGTGCATTGTTGTATTATCAAAACACCACCATTCCACGTCCAATGCGTCACACGAAATAGCATGATCATGCATTACATTTGAATGTGTTTAAAAGATTCACACGGCTTACACCCATTTACTAATGGTGACAATCATTAAGTAATAGTCTCACCAGCTCACGCGCCTCACAAAATACCATAAATACACAATGTATGTATACCAACCAATAAACGTATGGGGTGAGCGACGAACATGTAAGATGTGTGGTCACGGATGGATGTGTCTACTAGCGTGCAATACTGTACGCGTGCATATTGAGTGTATGCGTGGATATTGCGATGTGGCTTGCATTCAGCTGCATACAGCTGCATTCAAGTATGCCTGAATGTTTACCGCAAAAAGCATGAAAGCACTAGCATATTTAAGGTTTGTTCATCATGGAGTATTCATAAGTGGTAGCTCCACAATCTCATCCCTAGAAGGTGTATCAGCAGACCAACGAAACTGTTGAGTTCACTTAGGAAACAAATGGAAGATTCCGGTTTCCGCCATGTCAGTCGATGGCCCATCGGTTATAGGACCGCGATAACGCTCAGCAGACTTGCGCCTAACACCGAGATTCAATTACATCAAACTTATCTCTAACGTCGTTGTCAGCACGGGAGAACGATGAACGATCAGGACGATCACCACGAATGTTCACATTTCACCTAATCAACAAGGCTAAACTGATAGCAGTTTGATAGTTCTCATCTCGCAGCACGCGCGCGCGCTCCAGTCTTCCGAAAGAGACCAGGCGTCCGTGGTGCCGTTACCGGGCGACTAGAACACCGACCTCTCCACCACTAGCAAGTCACCTCCCTGCGGCAGCTGCCAGGAGGCTGCAATACTGGTGCCCTTGTGCGCCGGATTCGCCCTAGGACCAGCCCGGCGCCGTGTCCTGGCTACGGGGGCGGCTGACGCAGTGTCCAGGGCCGGCTGCGTCGGCCATCCTAGCGGTCCACGTTAACGGACCACGGACTTCGGTTGGCAGGCGGCCCGAGTAACCCCAGGTCAAAGGGCGCCGGTGACCCGAATGACCTCAAGCCGCAGGGCGTCGGTGACTAGAGTAACCCCATGTCAAAGGGCGCCGGTGACCCGAGCGACCTCAAGCCGCAGGGCGTCGGTGACTGGAGTAATCTCAGGTCAGAGGGCGTCGGTGACCCGTGTGACGCCAGGTCATGGTGGCGGCGGCGTGGAGCGGACGGCAGCACCACCAGGCAGGAGATATCACAGCAGCGCCGGTGACAAGGAGATTAAACAGTCTCTCGTTGATCGTCCGATGTTAGGAGACCCTGCCGGCGGACATTACCTTTGATGAGCTTTAGGAGACGCGTTCAGCACCAGACTGATGGGAGGTTATTGTTGCTGTTGTTTGCTGTGAGGGAGTGATTTTGCGATCGACAATTTTGCTCAGATGGTTTCGGCTTTGTCTCAAAGTTTTGCTCCGTGGAATTTATTGTCATTAATTTGTAATTTCGTACCAGCCAATATCATGTTTCTTGGTTCCCTAACACTCCCCACGAAATATTGGGCGTGGCCATATTGACACAACTTTTCGTTACTTGAGCTGTATGCATGTTACAAGTTTGCAATGCAGGTTTCATTTTCGACTGATCCATGATGCCCAGGAATTTGCTTCTCCAGAACAAGGTAAAAGCCTGGTGCGGGACACAACGATAACGATTTAGCCATGCCTATAGGGATAGGCCAACGGAAGCATTCGGGCATGACACCAAATGGGTGAGCATTTCCAACTCTGCATCTAACTAAAATAATCGATCGTCATGCCCACAACGTCAAGAAACGCATGCAGTACTCGTGGCTACATTGCTTACAACGTTTTTCATGCGGTTCTTGATAGTGCATAAACACGTATGACACGTACCCGGTGGCAATCAGCCCATGTGACTGATGGCCAGACTTTCGGCTAACATCTGTGAGAATAAAGGCGAACGTGGGCTTTGATGAATGCGGGGACATTGATGCGTATCAGGGCGCCAAAGTAGTTCATATGCGCCCGTTACGTTTGCCAGATGCTTGGACTGCCGTCCACTGGGCGAGTGCTCGACATCAGCCAGCAGCCGCCAGTCAGGTACCAGCACAACTAATTCTGTTTTTCACTGTTGTGTTTCCAAGCATGTGTGTGGAAGAAAAATCGGTAATGTTATCTGCCTGTTAAAGAACTCCGAATTCCAACAGCTTTCAATCCCAGAGAACATGTGTGATGAGGCCTTCAATTAAGGGACACTCGTGTATGGGGTCATATACCATTTGCATAGATTTCGTACCTAAACAAAACCCTACATTGCCATGGAGCGGTAAAATTGGTAAGAGTTGTATTACGTTAGGATTAATGGTAGTTGCACCGTTGTATTAGCTGTAAGAGTGCAAAGGAGTTCTTAAATGCACTCGGTGGAAAACACAGGAGATAAATTACGTTAGCCGTGCTTGTAAAATCGTGTTGGTAGCCACCAACCCAATGTGGATCCCTGAGAGCCTTGTCATGGGACTCAACAAGTGGCTAGTGCCTGAACGCGGTAAATGAAGTTATATAAAATGATATATACGTGATGTCGTATCTCCTAGACTGCCTACGAATTTATGATGGTATGCGATCTTGACAGCTTACAGTTCTGACTTAAATATGCGCTGATAACAGCTGCATTCAGCCTAAAGTGCTTACTATCACCGCAGAAGGACTTTGTTCAAATGATAACAGCTACATCGTACGTGAGCTATTTACTCTAAATCGTGAACTACGAGACCGGAAGGTCATGAAGCCCTGTTACAAAATAGCACAACTGCTGTACCTCACTCATGAGATATATCACACGTCTTATTAGGAAGTGGACTTCATTTGGGCTTCTGCACGCACCTCGCGGTCCGTCGCTCCCGAGAGAGGCGCCCTCTTGGTCTTGCTCAGACTGAAGGTCTTGCTCAGACTGACAAAGTCGTCCCGCTCTGGCGAGCCCGGGTACCTTGGGCTGTGGAACTGCACGCTTCGGAAGCCCTTGGTGAGGCGGCGGCGGTACAGCGCTATGCCGATCTGCCGATGCCGGCAGAGGGGTGGCGTCAGCACCTCAGAGAAGCGCGCGCCCACTCCGGCGCAGTACCTCAGAGAAGCGCGCGCCCACTCCGGCGCAGCACCTCAAGGAAGCGCACGCCCACTCCGGTGCAGTACCTCAGAGAAGCGCGCGCCCACTCCGGCGCAGTACCTCAAGGTAGCGCACGCCCACTCCGGCGCAGTACCTCAGAGAAGCGTACGCCCGCTCCGGCGCAGTACCTCAGAGAAGCGTGCGCCCACTCCGGCGCGGCGGGCTGGCTGACACCTAAGCGGTGGCGCCACCTATACACTCCAGCCAATATTGTGGATCGGACAACTGCGTTGGAAAAATTACGCGTTCAAACTCTCGCACTGAACAGACATTCTTTAATAGCAAATGCCGTCGATTCTCAGGTGTGCATACTTTGTGTTATAACAGTTCACAAGACACTGCCAGGACATCCCTCTACAACAGGCATGACAGACATTAGACACCGCAAGCACGTCTTGAATATTTGTACGCGCCATCTCTCATGATCGTTTGGGATCACAAGCGCCAGCAAAGATGGCATATGTGCCCCAAGACAAGCACAGCTCACCAGGGTGACGACAATGACGATGAGGAGGACGCACGTGACCGCCACGCCGACCGCACCGCCCTGACTTGGTGCAACGACAGCGTCCCTCTCCACCGCCCCTGGGGTGGGTAGAGCTCCGGTAGGCACTGCGGAGGAGGGGCCACAGTAAGACCATCGGCCCGGTTCACACGCTGTTACACCCGAACGGCAAACGTCCCTATGATCATCAGCTACAATTATGGTATGTTATAAGAGATGCATCCAAGTGAATAACGAACTAGGTGATGTGATGAATCAAATATAATCTAATCGACATTAAATTGTCATAATTGAGATTCAAATAAAAGCTGATTTTATGCAGACTTCCTGAGTCGAGGGTAGATTTTGTGAAAATGAAGGCTTCATCATACATATTTATAATCAGGCACAACAAAAGAAAAAAATAAAGCGCATGTGAAAATGAGCAAAGCAAAAACCAAATTTCAAGCATTTCAGTTAAATAGCAGTGCCATTTGTCCAGTAATCCTTCATCCATGAGGCTAAAGCGCCCCACAACTAAACGAATCGCTCCGCAGTGCGTGGATGCCACCAGAAAGTATCGTCCGTTGCCTGGGACGCCCCCCTCAGCCCTCCTCACTGTCGGAGCTGCCCCGGCCGAGTTCACCAGCCGGCGCGCGAACTGACCGTCTTCAGCGCAGGTGAGGCCGTCGTCCTGCAGCTGGAGGCCCCGGGGACAGGCGCAGCCGGTGCGCCGCTCGCTGCCGGCCGTCAGCGGCGCCGGCAGGCAGACGTGCGAGCAGGCGCCGTTGGTGGGCGCGCACCAGTTGGTGCCGTTCGGCTGGCGGTACGGGTGGTACGCCCGTACCTCCCCGGTGAAGCGTAGCTGCAGCAGAGGGGCACCAGCTGAGAGGCGGGCGGCGCGCGCAGGTGCGGCCCACACAGGCGACACTGGGGTCATGGATCGCGCCATGAACGTGCGGAGGGCAAATGAATATGACGAGTAGCTAGTCGCAAACTCGATCAGGGTACCAGGGGAGGGGGAGGCTTATCCACAGCCATTTGTTCACCCACAAACTTGTTCGTGACATGTGTTTCCGGTTACGCATAGACAGACCCAGCAGTTCTTCGAACATTCATAAACTGAACCAGCTTTCCTTCGCAAATCATATCCAATAAGCTTGGACTGATTTCATTACTGAACTCCCGGCCAACTCAGCAGCAGGCCGACGGGCCGAGAACTTACCGACCCGACGGACGCCACCCTGGCCACGCCGGAGCCGGTGAACTTGTTGGCCCTGAACACGCCCCGCTGGTCCCAGTCGGTCCAGAACACGGCGTCCTCGAAGGTGGTGATGCTGTACGGGTGGTGCAGCGTCAGCGGGCTGCTGATGATGACGCGGCGGTTGCGGCCGTCCAGGTCGGCGCTCTCCATCAGCTTCAGCTTCGCGTCCACCCAGAAGAGGCGTCGCACCGTCAGGTCCAGCGCCACGCCGTTGGGCCACTCCAGCCGCGTGTCGACGATGACCTGCCGCTGGCTGCCGTCCATGCCGGCACGCTCGATGCGCGGGTTGGAGCCCCAGTCCGACCAGTACATCCAGCTGGCGGCAGCAGACGCGGCGTCAGACGCCTGGTCCGTACGGCGTCATCACTCCGCACAACCGGACATGGTGGTGAAGCTTGCGGAGACCGGCACATTTGTGTGTGTGGTTAGACAAACGGAGCGTCTTTGTCCACATACACGCGGATGGGCGTGTAGCGGCGCCAGGGAACCCCGGATCAATAAGACGCTTGTCAGTCATACTGTCAAACTCCGCTACCCAATAACGACAGGCGTCTAATATCTATTGTGCATTCATATACTGGACATACAAAACATGCTTTCACCTAATCGGCTGGTCTAAGGTAGACATTTAACCATACGTATTGCACATGCTATGAGGGGTACATTTAGTGGCATATTGTGAGCCTAAACGAGGTCAGACACACCCTTCAGCACTCAGCAATCCTTTCTCATTGCCTAAGACACAGACCCAGCGTATGCATCCAGCCAGGATGCGTACGCTGGATGTACATGTACGCGTCACACATGTACACCTTACGATCCGTGTGTCCTTTGTATTCTGACCCTGATGACCCAGGTGACCCCTGCGACCCCTGTGACCTCTGGACTGACCCGTGCTCCGGGTCGAGCGCAATGGCACGCGGCTGCAGCAGGTCCATCTTGACGAGCGGCAGATGGAAGCTTCCGTCGAGCGCCGCCACCTCGATGGCGCCACCGTCGCCCTCGTGGCTGCCGGCCCGGGTCCAGTAGAGCCGGCCGTACAGCCAGTCGACGGCCAGCGACTGGGGGGTGACGCCGCGCAGCAAAACGGAGCGGCGCGAGCCCTCGTCGATCGGCGCACTGCGGCACGCAGGACCGTCTCAGCCACGCTGAAAGCTCGACGGGGGAGGGAGAGCGGCTCCGTTGGGTGCGGCAGGAACGGGAGGCTTCGACCGCGCCATCGTGCTGGCTGGGACGCGGGCTGGGTGGGCTGCTGTGCTGGCTGGGGCGCGGGCTGGGTGGGCTGCTGTGCTGACTGGGACGCGGGTTGGATGGGCCGCTGCGCTGGCTGGGACGCGGGTTGGATGGGCCACTGAGGTGACTGTGGTGTCATCCCGGTTGCGGTCTCTGTCTGGTAGCGCCTCAACTGCTTAAGCAGCGCTGGTTGAATTATTGGCGTCATAGATGTGAGAAGTGTAGGGCAGGAGAGCGTTAATTGAACAGGACACACCAGCACGTGTCATTGACCGCCGATACACTGCAATGGGCACAATGGATGACACGTATATGCCACCACAGGTTATGATATGTTTTAAGTGCATGCAAATTGTGCAAGGTCATTAATGAGCTGAAATATGTTGACGGTAAAAAAAACGGAACCGCAAAAATAAGTAGAGGAAATGCGAGTCCATTTCCCATTTGCCTTGACGTCAAACCTGTGTTGGAGAACAAATATTCCAATCTGCAATACACAAACTTATCTGGTGTTACGATAACTGCTCTTGAGATTGGCTGGGACAATCTGGCCAACTGTTGACGGCCGTGTTATTTCCAAAGGTCAACTAGCTAATTGGAATTTTACTCATCACCTGCCGTGTCAAATAAAACAGCCGTACTTCCACAAGTTCATGGAAGCGAGCGTCGTGGGCGGCTCCCCTGAGGCCGTTCAAGCATTTACGAGCTGGTGGCGAGCCACTGCCGCGATGGCCGGCACGTGCCCGCTCTGGGAGCGAGCTCTCTGGAGTGGAGGACGACTGAGTAGCCAGGCGGTAACTGGTGCTGGTCACGCCCACGCCGCGACCTCCCAGGGGAGACGGTGGGCTTCAGCTCAGACCAATGGCGGGACCTAGATGACCTGGTGGGGCTGGTGCTGAGCTGGTGACGCGGACAGCCGCCAGGGATGCGGAGGTGTGGAGGTCAGGGGTCAAATTGTAACGGGAGAATGAGTAACTAGTCTGTCTAGAGCTTGACTAGACACTTGTGTTTGGTTGCTGATTGCTCAGACCAGTGCAACTGAACGTGGTCGGTATGTTCCGAGTGCATTTCCTTCGGGATTATGTACCATAGTGTTCACACCGATGACCGTACGCATCGGGTATTGGTTTCCGGTGATAAACCCACCTATAGATGACGTGGTCCAGGGTGTCCGACCAGTACACCAGGCCAGTGCGGAAATCAAAGTCGACCGCCAATGCGGAGCTCGTGCCGTTGACGATTGACGTGATCTCGTGCTGGTACAGGCCGATTTTCCGGATGTCAGTCCTGTGAATGGTGGATGTCATTCAAAAACCTCTGAGGCAGTACTTTATTTCAGCTATCGTACTGGACGGAGCCGGTATCGCTATCTAGGGTGGCAATGCTTTGGAAGTGTGCTATGCGCTTGCAGTGTAACTCAATGGTTTCAGAATGCCAATGGTTATGGACAGCTTCCATTGGATTCCAAGAAATGATTCAGTTAGGTTTGGGGTTCATTACGCTTTTATAAAGAGATACTGGCCCGTCTGCCAGCCAGGCCATGCATGCCCGCGTTCTGAGTAGACTCCAGCGACATGGGTTCTCACTTTATCTAATATTTGATGAAAAGACGCTATGTCTTTTTAACTTTTCCAGGTGAGCTAGGACAAAACAACATCTCTTTTTAATGCGAAAAGGTCACGACCACGTTATATAAGAAGTTACATAACACCTAACCCGAAGCTCTGCAAAGCCCCTTGGGACAACGTTATGAAACACGTGGTCCAACCGACGCCTAACGACGCCCCCCTCCACCCCTACCCCTGCCAGGCTCGTCCGCGGCCGTCTGATCCGGTTGGGCAGCTCCACAGGGCGTTTGTCTCGGCCAGGCACGCCCGGGGGGAGGGCAAGGGGCGTGCATCTCGGCAAGGGATCGTCTGGCTCAGGGCGGCCGCAGCTGCTCCGGCCGCGGCCTGGCGGCGGGCGGATGACGGAGCGGTGCTGCGGGCGCCCGACACCGCCCGCCGGATGTGACCTGCCACCGAGGACGTCACAGCCTTCTTGACCGCGACCAGAGGCGCAGGCATCACATTACGATGACGTCGCACAAGTCCGTTTTGCTCTTCAGTTCTTGGTTTCGCGATCTCCTTATTTGGCTATCGGTAACATCGGCTCGACAGGTGCAGACCCCTCTCCTGCGTGAGCGCAGGCGGTGAGACCGCTGTCCCTCTGTCTGACCCGTCCTTCCGCCCGATCTCGTCCCTCGCCTGACCCGTTCTTCCGCCTGATCCCCCCCCCGCCTGACCAGTCCCTCCGCCTGATCCACCGCTCCGCCTGACCAGTCCCTCCGCCTGATCCACTGCTCCGCCTGACCAGTCCCCCTGCCTGATCCCCCCCCCCCCCGCCTGACCAGTCCCTCCGCCTGATCCACCGCTCCGCCTGACCAGTCCCTCCGCCTGATCCACCGCTCCGCCTGACTAGTCCCCCTGCCTGATCCCCCCCCCCCCCGCCTGACCAGTCCCCGCGTCTGATTCACCGTTCTGTCTGAACCCGTCCATCCACCCGATCCCGTTCCTCGCCTGACCAGTCCCTTCGCCTGAACCCCCCCCCCTCCCCCCCCCCCGCCTGACCAGTCTCTCCGCCTGAACCCGTCTCCCGCCTGACCCGGTCGCTCCGCCCACCTGTGCGTGAGCAGCAGGCTGGCGTGCACCTGCTGCGCCTTGCAGAAGGTGTGGTCGGCAGGGTCGCGCACGTAGCCCTCGAAGCACTCGCACTTGTAGTGGCCCACCTGGTTGGTGCAGATGTGACTACAGGCGCCGGGAATGGCGCACTCGTCAATGTCTGGAATGGATGAGCAGCTTCGTTCAGTCAAGTTATGCGTCATGCTTTAAAGCATAAAGGCAGAGGGCATTTTCAGTGGCATTCATACCTGCCACAGTCAAGCACATGTGTGAAAATGAAATCACAAACGCATAGGTTGGCTGCGCCGACTGACATGCTGCATGCGTATTGAATAGCGTTGGTGAAGGTATATGCGTTGGCATAGTGCGCGTCGTGTATGACGGAAACCGTAGAGCATTAAACTTTCGTTGCAAAGGCAGCTCTTTTGACTTCCAGCGCCGCAGGAGGCCACTGGCGACATGAGTGACCATGGCAGGCCCTTCTGTCGCTACCCTTTCAGACCTAGGAGCCGCTAACACGGCCGTCATTCCCCGGACACCCGCCGCCGAGGCGCGTCTCCCACCTTCGCATGAGACACCGTCGTCACCCAGCTGGAAGCCCTCGGGGCACAGGCAGCGACGGCCGTCGGGACGGTTGCGGCAGCCGTGGCTGCAGCCGCCGTTGTTGTGCGAGCACTCGTTGCTCGAGCACAGGCCGGCTTCGTCGGAGCCGTCGCCACAGTCGTCGGCGCCGTTGCAGGCGAGCTCCACGGCCAGGCAGCGGCCGTCGGCGCACGTCAGCTGGTGCGTGACGTCACACGTGGGCGTCACCGCTGCGGCGAGACGCGATAACGTCACTGGAGCCGGGCATCTGAGATGGGGCAGCAGCGCCACTGCCATGCCGCGTTACCTCGCGCCGTCGCGTGCGGAAAACCCGAATAGCGCAATTTCTAGATTTTGGATCTGTTGCCTCAAATGGTCTTGAAGGACACCGCGCCACATTCTGCCTGAGCAACTATCGTCTATATATGTCGCAGCCGTGAGTCCTGCAAAGATTCTAGCACCCTTGACCGGCTCTGACATAATGCTGGTGACACCGATCACCAGCGTTCGCCTCACGTGTCAGAACACCTGCCGTTTTGTCATCTGTCACCTGTCATTTGTGGTACATCACCACTGGTCCGCCACCTATAGACGGCCCTGCTCGCAAGAGACATTGGATAGGGGCGCGAAAGTGACCCTTGATCTGAGTTTTCCCGGCATTACCAACCGTGCAAAGAATAAGTGTTCAGCCTTTGGGAACAAGGACGAATACCCTTCGGTAATGACCGCCGCCACACCAAGCTCCCACGTTTGCGTCGTTGGCGGAGCACTGCACGCAGCACGGCTGGGTCGCACTCACTGCAGTTGGCCTCGTCGCTGGCGTCGCGACACTCGGCCGAGCCGCTGCACAGCAGGCTGAGTGAGATGCACTCGCCGATTCCGCCGCACTTGAACTGGTCCCGGCGGCACACCTGGGCCGCGCACCTGCCACGGAGGAGGGCGCCGGGTCAGGCCGCAGCCCAGTCACGGCGCATGCGGCTGCCGCTGCCGGGGATGCAGACTTCGGCGGACGGAAGGCAGCTGGAGACAGGCCGGTTCAGCGGACGGAAGGCAGCTGGAGACAGGCCGGTTCAGCGGACGGAAGGCAGCTGGAGACAGGCCGGTTCAGCGGACGGAAGGCAGCTGGAGACAGGCCGGTTCAGCGGACGGAAGGCAGCTGGAGACAGGCCGGGAGGGGCCTGCGACAAAACCCACCAGGTATGCGGACTGAACTGGTCCGACTCTCAAGGGTCCCACCTGGGCATGCGCTCGATATCACGGAAGAGGAAACCGAGCTATGTTCTCGGCGGCAAAGGGTCGGGCAGCCTATCTTCAGCACCTCCCGCAAGAAAGCTAGAGAACCCGCCCGCGTCCTCGCCTTGGCATAGTCGGAGGAGGCAGCCGTGACCTCTGGACCCCGTGACCGGTGTCCTCACCTGCCGGGATCCTCATCCGAGCCGTCCGGACAGTCACTGTCGCCGTCGCAGAGCCAGGCGGGGTGGATGCAGAACGCTCCGTCCGCACACATGACGTCTGATTGGCCGCACGTGGGCCGCGGAGGCGTGGCGTTCACCGGACACTCCTGCCGGACATGGCGGCCAGAGGGGACTCAGAGGGGACAACTCGACGCCTGACAGCGCCAATTCCAGCGATTTGGTCGTATCGAAAAACGAACGGAGGGTGGCGGAGTCTGCTGGCGCCGAAACGACAGCACTGTCATCGAAAACAGCGCATACGACGAGAGGCGCCACCAGCGGTCACTGCACGGACATCGAGACACGGACCTCGCAAACCTCCACGGCATAATCTACCGGACAGCGACGATAGCTTTGCTCTCAGAAGCGGGAGAACAATCTCCGGGTAGAGACTAGCACCTCGGGGTGCAGTTCAGGCTAGGGATGAGTCCGTTTCCGGGCCGAGCGCCGAGCGCCGGTCGCCGTCGACGGCGTGCCGTACCTGTTCGTCGCTGCCGTCGGTGCAGTCCCGGACGCCGTCGCAGCGGGCCGTCCAGCCGACGCACTCGCCGTTAGCGCAGGTGTGCTGCGAGCTGGGACTGCAGGCGGGCCTCTGCGGAAGACGGGACGTGTCGTTTCCGTTAGCGTCGGGGGACGTGCGAGGGCGGGTGTCGGCGATGCACCCTCCCGGCGGTGTATGCCGTACTCGGAGGTTCACCAGTGGCGGTCGGCGGTCGCGCACCTCGGGTGTGGTCATCAGGCCACTGATGCCGTGAGCTGGTCTGCTTCTCGCCGGTGCTGTATGTGAACATGGTAGGACAGAGGACACGACACGGCAGGTGGGAAGAGAGAACAAGGGGTCGTCGTAAACGAAAACTTCTAACATAAATCTATAAAATGTCATTGAATCGCCATGAACGCGGTCAAGATTGTGTAAAGGAGGATGCTGATCTCAGGGGGGGGGGGGGGGAATTACACTGATTTTAACTCTCTGTCAAAAGCCATCTAAGGTGAAAATGCAAAATGTGACTGTAAGAGCACGGGCAGGGGGCTGCCTTTGTGCAAGACGCCTTTGGCAGCGTAGACAGGCCAAAAAACTGTAAACGTGATTTTGATCACTAGGTGGATAACATGCAAAAATCAATGTCACTGTAGCTTTTGGGAGCCCATGCTAATAAGACAACAAGTACTCTCCTCTCAAGGGATCAGCAAACTTGCGCTGATGCGTTGATGGATTACCGTCCGCGCACAAGTTCCCGAATAACATGGGTGAACATTGGCTGGGTGTAAGTCTGTCCGATCCGACATTTCTAATAAACGATATTGATGCATTTGGAACCGTCTGCAATTTCGGCATTGCGACCAGGAGCGTCGAGTTGTGCAAATTGTTGTGGTTGGACGGGGATTTGGGGAGAGTGGGGGGGGGGGGGGGGGGGCTGGACGAGGACCCGACAGATTAACATCTTTCAAGTCTGTGTTTCTCAACGAATTGGGCTCAGTTGGTTAGGGTGCCTGCCTCCCAATCCACCCACCCGTGGTCGGTTCGAGTCTCTGCAGGCGCTCGCTGTTTGCCCTTGACCTGCGGCCTATGGCCTGCGGCCGGCGACGGCGGTCGCACTAAAGGTCAGGTGACGTCAGAGGGCAGGACAGACCGTGCCGAGCAGTGCGGCACGTTAAACATTCGCCACCAAAATTATGCCGTTGATGTGATTTGCGCGATCGGATGGCAGGGGTTAGGACTCACACAACAAGCACTGCTTGGTGTGATCCCCGATCCCAGATATCCATCCCTTCTAAATGTTCGCACTAAATCTTAAAAGGCAGTGGCTGTTATAATATAAGCCCGGGCCGGGCACCCCAAACGTCACTGGCCGGCTCGGACCGGGCCACCGAAGACGCCCAATGTCCGATTACCCGACGTTGGGGCTAGCGCGGTCCGCGGGCTCGTCGAAATCCTTTTTAAGTGTGGTGAAATCCCATACATGGCATCACGAGAACCATATACCAATGTTACTTGGCGTCGAAACGAAAACAAGGCTGAACAGCCTGGAGAATGTTATGCGGCAACCGAGCAAAATGCGTAAGTTCCGAACAGAGATCACAACAAAGAAGACCCATGTTTCCCCATTGCCAGCACTGCAAAGGCATTTTACGCTATGGGGTAAGACCCTTGCAATCCGCGCCGCATTCGGTGATAAACGAATGCAATCGCAGCAATGCACTGTCCACGAGGCGTCCTGTCAGATGCTCTGCCGTCTCGGGAAACCGCGACAGGACCTGGCGGTGTCCGGGAACTCCCGAGCAGTGCTGAGCGACGTTCCTTTGGGGCGCTCGCTCGGCATCGGAATCGAAATGCAAATGTGAGATTGCCCGTCCGCCAGATAAATGGAGCTGAACTGAGGGCATGTATTTCCGACATCAGGAAAAGAGGGATGCCAAAGGTTGGCGTGACGACAGCAATATGGAACGTGAAATTGCATTGAAAAAAATAAAGTCGCACGGTTTCATTATGTGACACTCATGCATCCAGTTCAGTGGACGTTACATCTGGACATCGCTAGGTGTGCACACTCGTATACAAAAACGCGCTCCTCTATGCTGGCGCCAAGGTGGGACGCCCGCAAACCCAAGCCGCAGTTCAATGCCGCGGCTGCCTGGGGTCTCTGAGTGATGTTCGGTGGGCAGATAAACAGACAGACAGACAGACAGACAGACAGACAGACAGACAGACAGACAGACAGACAGGCAGACAGACAGACACATAATCGTGCTCACCTGGCAGTCCCTCTCGTCGGACCCATCGCCACAGTCATTGTCTCCATCGCAGGCCCAGCGAGCGTTGATGCAGTTGCCGTCGGCGCACGCAAACTGGTCAGAGCTGCATGTCTGGGCTGAAGACATACCGGACACGGGGTCAGCCGGGGTCAACGGGTCCCGCGGGTGATAGTCGACGTAGAGGGTCCCGCGCGAAGGCAAGCTGGGTCAACTGGTTCCGCAGGGGCATAGCCGGGGTCAACAGGTCTCAGCGGTGGCAGTCAGGGTTAATTGGTCTCCAGGGTGGCAATCATGCTAAAACCGTCCTCGCGGGTTACCACTGGGGTTGAAGTAAATAGTCGGCCCGGTCGGTGCGCTCTGCGATTTACGAGTCAGACGTTGTTCCACGACAACGGTTTAGATGAGATGACCGCCGGTGGTAGCGAGGTGCCCCTCACGCGAGCCAACGCAAGCGATAACACGCGTTACCATAACACGTACTCTGTAAGTACACGTGAACGAAGAGGACAAGTTCGCACTAGACAGGACCCCTTGGTGCTATCCTATGCTGAGTCTCGCTATGGTATAGCAGGCTGAGTGTTGATGACGTCATTCTTTGTGGAAGTTGTAATTAAGAGCAACGTTGGCTGTTTGCATCGCGGTTAGCTCGGCGTAATGGCCTGGCGCTCATTTCTGTCAGACAAGTCGACGTAAGCACAGCGAGCTAATTAACTGCGAAGTCAGCCAAATGATGGAAGATATAATCCCATGTGAAATTGAGGCCAGTTATAATGCCAGAGTCAGGGACACCATCTAAATCAAATGCCAGTGCGCTGGCTAATAATAGAATCTGGACGCGCATTAAAACCCGCCTAGCCGGCCAGCGCAGTGCAATAGAGCACTGGCCAGCGCAGCGCAAAAGGACCACTGACCAGCGCAGCACAGCAGAGCACTGGCCAGCGCAGTGCAATGGAGCACTGGCCAGCGCAGCGCAATTGAGTACTGACCAGCGCAGCACAACAGAGCACTGGCCAGCGCAGTGCAATAGAGCACTGGCCAGCGCAGCGCAAAAAGACCACTGACCAGCGCAGCACAACAGAGCACTGGCCAGCGCAGTGCAATGGAGCACTGGCCAGCGCAGTGCAATAGAGTGCTGACCAGCGCAGCACAACAGAGCACTGGCCAGCGCAGTGCAATAGAGCACTGGCCAGCGCGTCCGGGCGTGGGTTTCCACCGTTGTGATCAGACGCCACGAGACTTACAGCAGCCGTCCTCGTCGCTGCGGTCGGAGCAGTCGGCCTGGCCGTCGCACCGCCACGACACCGGGATACACTGCACGGTCGTCTCGTTACGGCAGCGGAACTGGTCGTCCCGGCAGAGGCGCGGGCCTGAAACACACAGCGCCGTCCGTCAGTTCCGTGGGCCGATTCAGCGGAGTTTCAGTCCCGCGGGTCTCTCAGTTCTGCGGGTTCTTCAGTCCCGCGGGCCGCTCAGTCCCGCGGGTCTTGCAGGCCTTCAGTGTCTGACTGCGCCGCCATCCCGCCCCATGCGTCCCTGCCCAGCCCTTCCAGGTTGGGTCATGTAACATGGCCAGGTCACCGGCAGAAGCCCCTGGAGTCACGGCGGGAACTGGGGACGTTTGAAGGGGGAGGGGGCAGGGGCCAGCTGGAGCAGGCGGCAGGGCCGTGGGCTAGCCGCCGGACCGACACCCACCGCAGAGGCGCGGGTCCTCGTCGCTGCCGTCGCCGCAGTCGTCGTCACCGTCGCACCGCCAGCGTTCGATAATGCAGCGGCCGTTGGCGCAGCGAAACTGGCCGCTGGCGCACGAGCCGCTGACTGTGGGAGGGGCGGAGGGGAGGTCAGGTCGGGTCACCGGTCCCGGGCCGCGCCAGAGTCGGCAGGCCGCGCGGCAGCGGCAGTGCGGACAAGAATGCGTCGGCCCGGTGTTGAAGTGCGCTGATCGGAATGCACAGACCTCATCAAAAAATGGTTATTTGAAAAACAAATGTTGATGATATTCTGCTCATCGCACTGTCACGCTTGAACGTGTTGGCTTGCTCCATCGGTATTCAGCAAACCATGTTTAAGGCAACTCTCAATCCCTTATTTAACTCTAAGATGTTGCAAGCGCTTGATTAGCGCATCACACTCCGAATAAAACATTCAGCTGCTTATTTTTTCAACTCCTTGATTTGTTCCAATCTTACGGACGGCACACGAACTGGTAAGTATTCAATCACCTCGAGCCGTTCTTGAGTGTCCCTTAAGTTAATGGGTTCGCCGCATTCATATTCAAACGATTCAAATAAAAAGTGAGGGTTTGACGATGACAGCCAGGCTTTCTCTGGATTTTGAAAACATGAAGGAAACTGTCTTGGACTCAAGGCTCGTAGCGTTGTTTTGCAGCTTAAAAAGGAGGTACTGAGGGTACCCAAAAGGACTTGCACAGATGGCATACCCACTCACGTCGCGTAAGCACGATTTTCAGGTACGTGGCAGTGCTGGCGCTGCTCTGAATGTCGTTCAGCTTCAGCCTCGGCTGGGCTAGCAGGGGCCGAGAGAAAGCATGTTCGCAAAATCCATCCCTGACGCCAAATCCCATCATCCATCTCAGCGCCGTCTTGGATATGCAATTTTGTGCGGCATCCCTCGTGTCGGCAGCGGGGCCGTCAAGGCAGAGACAAGAATCCACCATAGTCGCCGCAGCACACCGCCTCTGGCGCCGGCACCGGCACGGGCAGTGGCTGTCTCCAGTCGGCTTTGATCCAATGACGCCGCCACAATCAGCCCCACGGCGCGGATCTCCGGCTCGATACCGTGCCGTCCGAAGGTGCATACTGGTTCCCAGCATAATGCACCCATCCATCTCGAAGGCGCTGGAGGTGATAGCGCCGCAGCGTCAGCGTAGCAGTAACGCTCCACCGGGGCGTCCGAGCCAGACTGTGGACGAACTTCCGACAGCGCTGGAGGCGATAGCGCCGCAGCGTCAGCGTAGCAGTAACGCTCCACCGGGGCGTCCGAGCCAGACTGTGGACGTACTTCCGACAGCGCTGGAGGCGATAGCGCCGCAGCGTCAGCGTAACAGTGACGTTCCAGCGGGGCGTCCGAGCCAGGCTGTGGACGAAATTCCGACAGCGCTGGAGGCGATAGCGCCGCAGCGTCAGCGCAATAGTGACGTTCCAGCGGGGCGTCCGAGCCAGGCTGTGGACGAACTTCCGACAGCGCTGGAGGCGATAGCGCCGCAGCGTCAGCGCAACAGCAACGTTCCACCGGGGCGTCCGAGCCAGGCTGTGGACGAACTTCCGACGGCGTTTCCGAGCGTCGGTTCCGGTCTTGGCTTCCACCGCGATTGCGGCGGGATTTTCCGGGGCGATTATGCAAACCAGCAGACCTTGGGCGGCGGAGCGGCGCCCGGGCTTACTGTCCGGGGGAGCAGGGGCCGGCCCGTGGAGGGCCTACCCGGGACGGAACCCGTATCGCACTTTCCGGTCATGACATCGTTGTCTGTGATGCTCCTCGGACTAAAATCACTGTCAACTTCAGGGGGTGTCTTTCAGGGCGCTGGTGTCTCCACTGGCATGGCCAGCTTGCTGTGTGTCAGGATAATCTTCGGTGTTCCGTGAATATTATTTTAATAAACCTCATTTGTAAAAACGGTTCCGTACTTTGCGGATGTCTGATTTTTCTCCAAGTACTATGATTTATTACGTTGCCAGTTCCTACAACAGTAATCTGACTTTTGCAATGTTCCTGAACACTGTGTGTGCTAACAGTCAAGGCGACGCTGATTTTTCAAAAAGATTTTACCTGGAATCCGATCGTCAAGTTCCAAGCCAACAGCAGAACTTGGTGGCGAAAGTTTGACGCACCGCAATGCTCGGCACGGTCCGTCCTGTCCTTCGACACACCTGACCTTTAAAGCGGCGGCTGCCACCGCCCTCAGGCCATGCCTGTCAAGGGCAACGGATGAATGGAAGAGCGAAGGAAAATTATTGCATAACCCAGCATGGAAAATAAGATACAAATGGGTGAATCAATAAATCAACCGCTATATTCATGTAAGGAACGGCTGTAATTCGATAAATCACCCGCTGTAATTCAATAAATCAACCGATGCAACTCAAATGAGGGAATTCAGGCTAAATCCAGGCATGAATCGTGGATGGAAAATATTCAGACACCCGTAAAGAGGTAATGCACTGAGGTTAAGCAAGGCATTCATGCTTGGGGCTGCACTAGTCATCTGCTTCATAAGATCACTGGAATCTTTGAATGCTAAAACTGCATGTTTTACGGATTCAGTCTCCCTTGTGGGCAGAATTTAAGAGATATCATCTTCCACCTTTAATGTTTGTCATTTTGCAGCCCGCCGGAGTTTAGCCTTACTTGATGGACGTGGCCAGGCTTGGAGAATCGCTCTGAAAGTCGGGGTGTTAGGGATGCCTGGGCCAGAGGCCAGAGCCAGAGCCATGGGCCAGAGGCCAGAGCCAGAGCCATCGGCCAGAGGCCGAATCTGCGGGCGGTAAGTTAGCCTCGGCCCAAAATCTAATCTATTTCCAGATGTCGGTAATTTCATGCTGTGCTCTCAGAATAATTTGTTTTAAGCATTTGCTGCATGGCAGTTTCCAATTTTATAAAAGCTTACGTTTTGCAGAGTATCGTGCTGTAAAACACATGGGTTTTGTTTGCGTCCTATACCGAGTATCGTTGCTGGTATTACATCAATAAACACGGACATCGGCACCAAATCCAGTCTTTTCTTGCCTCTTGCCTCAGCCGTCAGCTCCATGGAAATTACGGTTTTCCCTGTTCAAGGTCCTTATGTGTCTTGCTATCGTTCCAGTGCTGGCCGAAAGGGCTCTTATCGATGTTAGCACCGAATGTTAAAAGTCCTGTCAACCGCTTCATTCATAATATTTCATGGAATATGTTGATACTTACCATGGTGAACACAGTAAACGGTCTACCCAAGTAACGATACGTGTCACCAGTGCTTTTGACCTTGAACGTCATGTGGCCACTCCACATTAACTTGAAAATTGATGTGGCCCGCGCAGCATCTGTCATTTGCATTTTGCTCTAACATATAGGCGTGACAGCATACGTCAGACGTTTCGCCGGCACTCAGCATCGATCCGCCGCTGGGCCCGAAAAGCTGTCAGACAGCCTTACAACAGTCGAATGGAAGCCGTGATTACATTATTCGTTCCGGGTAGACAAAAGGAAAACATAACCTTCGTCGCGGCTTGGCCCATATCCAGACGTCAAACATCACTGGCACTTTGAGCTTCTCCTTCCCACCTCTTTCAGACGGACTACTGCGCCTTTCTGCCGCTACAGACAAAAACAGCAAACATAAGACGCAAGGCCGAGCTATTAAATCCGCTTATGAGACGTGGTGGCAATGCTGACGTCACCACTATGTGCTCGTGGTGGGCGTGTGCGCTGCGGGGGTCGCGTGGCGGCTGCTCTGGCGTCCGTCACAGCGCCATGCGCGGGGCTAAAGGTCACTAGCCGCCCAGAAGCCCCCCAGCTGCTGAGCGGGGTCAGGCACATTTCGGTACTTTTGGCTGGGGGCGGGTATGATGTGCAGCATTATATGAATGGTAGCTACAAGTTAATCTAGTGCTTTACTATCGGTCTGGAAGCCTCTGAACGTTTTCCTGGACTGGTTGGTCGAGAGGGGCATGGGTGTCGTCCAGTGACAATGTTTTTCGCGCGCGTAAAATATTCGTGAGCTGGATATTTGCGACCATCGGTACTTAGATGGAAAACATTTAATTTCCCATGAGGTAATGTTTGCAGCTGATATTGATTATATCATGCTTTTTGCGGGCCAAATATTTTTTTATATGTTTTTATATATATTTTGTTTTATATATTTTTTATATGCGCTGTGAGCTTTTATAAACCTTAACATTTGTTAAAGATAAAAGCCAGTACGTTACAACACGCATAATGGCGCAGCTAGTACCGTGTTGTAGATTGCAATCAGCATGGATATCCTGATTGAGGCGAGCGCCCTGGACTGATGCCTGCATGCCACGTTGTTGCGGCAGCTCTGCGATGAGCCGGGCTGCTACATGCAGACATTTACGCTGTCTATGAGCGGAATGACCAGAAAGCATCGAAGAAAGTCTGTGGCAAAGCACATCTGTCTACCACGTCCCGGTTGCTTTCCACGATTAACACCACACTATGCACCATCGCACCGGCCAGCAACTCAGAAGCTTCACAAGGTTGTTGCACCCGATCATCTCGCAGGCCCTCTCCACAAGGTTGTTGTACCCGATCATCTCGCAGGCCCTCTCGAAAGCTCCACGACATTACTTTCCACTTCTGAACGGAATCAGAGCTTCCGTTTGGAATGCACATGCAAGGAGCAGCAGCGTGGGGATCAATGCGATCCCCACATGCAAATGTGGCTGAGCTTTGAAAACAATATGCTTGAGCTCATTTCTATCTGTTCTTCAATCTGGATGCTTCATGTCCTTCCCCTACCCCGTAAAGAGGTTAAGCATTTGTCTGTTAGCATCCTGAAACACTCGGCTCGGTTGCATCGCCCCGATCAAGAATATAATTGATTTGACATTAAACGTAAGTCGTAAGTGGCTTACACGTGACGAAAGCGTTTCCATGACTTTCAGGCTAAAAGCTTTAAACACACTTGACTAAGGGCAAAAAGTGGGACGCTGAAAATCACGTTTGCTATTACAAAGTTACATGGCGCATCCCCATTTAGCTTGGGCTGCTTGAATGCACCCGCATAAACAGATTTTGGCACTATTCTAAAAATAACATATTTTTGTTAAGGAATTTATGAGCATAAACATTCACTCAAAAGCAAAGACCATGGACCATATTCCAGTACGACATAACTGCCTATTCTGAAAAAACGTCCTGCCCTGAAATGTAGAGCACGGCACACCGTTCATGCTTAGATCACATTGGGGAGGGGGGGGGGGGGTCAGCCCGAACATAACGCTGGAACAGGCCCACATGCGCACGTCCCGTTCTTTCATCCCTCGCTGTTTTTAACACTTAAGCAGGCCATGCCGCTCACATTGCCGGTGGTGGGTCGATTGAGCAGGAGCTATCGACGGCAGTGGCGGTGAAGTCTGACAACAAACCTGTTTAGCGATGCCATCCAGTCATGATGACGTCAAGACATGCACACGTTGCAAGGAGGGGTGCGGTGATGACGCTACGTTGGCCGTCTGCAGAGGGCAGAGCAGGTTCGGCGGTCGCATGTCAGGCCACGATGGTAAACTGATACGCACTGACCAATTTTTGTGCCATATGCTCCGTGTGCGGGATAGCTCGAGGCTTGATGAGAAGCCTGGCGAAAATACGTGACTATTGAGCAAGTTAAAGGAATGTCTGCTTTTATGTAGGTGCACAGCACTGAGTGCCACTACGGAAATATGCACACTTGCCCATCACAACCACGAGCCCTGCCGCTTATCTCAACGTTAACAGCATTGTCTGCGTGCGGGATGCCCGGACTGCCCTGGGCCCAGAACGCCCCTGAACCGAGAGCGTCTGTAGCGGAGCTCGTGGTCCCCGGGGTGGGCTCGACCGCACGAGCTGCAGCCGAGCTCCGGCAGCCCACTCACCGGCCGGTGTCAGCTGGGCCAGCTCCGCCTGCATCAAACAGGCGACCAGCGGCGCCAGCAGCCAGGTCACGTAGACGGGTCCCATGACTGTAGCGGCGCCCAGACGTCACGACACCGCTCGGCTCACCCCGGCCCTCTGTCACTGCCGGTGGCGGCGACGCGAGCCGACTTATAGCGGTGCTGTCTTGGCCGGGGGCGTAGCAGGCGCGCGCACGTGGGGCAGCGGCTCGGCGGCGGCGCGGCGGAGGCGCGCGCCGGCTGACGGCCGGACGCCGCCGCCGCCGTCAGCGCGCCGGCCCGCTGCGGCCGGGGGGGGGGGGGGAGGGGACGTCCCGGACGGCGCCGCCCGCCGTTCGCCGTAGCGTGCCGCGGGAAGGGGTGAAGCCGGTGACGTAGGTTTCGTTTGAATGCCTCGTGAGCTCGCAATGCACGGCTTGGGTGGTGGGACAGGAATGCAAGAATGGCTACGACGCCGCGGGCCAAGCGGGACTTACGTGAATTATGAGAAATGTTGGACAGGAGCGGCCCAGCTCCGTCGGCCGTCACGCTTTCCAAGATTGAGAGCTTTTTCGTAATTGATCCCAGGCTTGCCCATGGTACTCGGCGGCAAGAAGCACAATTTCTTAAAAGCTGTGCTGTTCAGCTGTCGTCGAGCACTTGCCGGCAAACCTAGTGATCAGACAATTTTTTGACGCATTGAAATATCACCATTTTGCCTCTTCCATGCAATTAACACGGTAAAGGTCCAACTTGAAAATAACAAAAAGAAAATTTACTGGGTAGCTTGAAGCAGAGTTCAAATTTAGACGACCTAGTGTCACAGTAACATGAACCTAACTAGAACCCACAGTGAAGAAAATGGACAAACGAGCTGGCCAAAAAGGATGGTCGACGTTTGCAGGCCAGCTCCTGTCATCGTGTGCTTAGCATAGATCTTCCCGTGTTTTGTCGTCTTGAAGGATTAAGATCAGTATTCCACCTTTTGTACTTTTCACGTATCGCTACACTAGACGCGTATGGTTTGGCCAACAATATCAGTTTTCCTAGAATCCTTCTGAGCAGCACAGAATTTAGTTTTGAAGTAGCCGACTCTTCGGGAGAAATCTCATCTGACTCACTTTAACGCTGTGGAAGTTATGCGTTTAATTTCCCGTGCCTTTTCTGTTGCACGTGTTCCGTAATGTTTGCAGCACACTAATGTGTCAAAAAGTTTGTGAAATAAATGTTATGAAAGCTTGAAGCACGCTGTTTAAGTAAAAAGTATGCGGGCATGAAGCCATTATCTCGCGAATTCAACGAAACGTTATAATATGACTTTGATTCGTCCCCCATGGCGTTTGACACACTTGCTCTTTCCGAACCGCACTTTGGCTGTGGGAATGGTTGTGCAAATGACAAACGTTCTTTCGTTTGCACCAGTAGAGGTGCGCACGGTAGTTGTCATGACGCCGGTGGTCGCATTCGCAGGCAAGAAGTGTAGTGGTGTTCTGAAGCGTTGACAGCCTTATTTGGAGTCGAAAATCGATACCCTTATCATGCTTTGACGGTGATGCGGTGGCACACTCAGTGCTATTATTAGATGTAACTGATCATGACGTTTTACTAGAGTATCTTTTTGACATATGCCCTAAAGGTAGGGCACTCTGTAAAATCAGACCTCAACCAGCGCAAATGACGATGGTAAACTAGCCGCGCGGTGTAGGCAAACGTACTAGCTGCGACCCATCGGTACATCTCTGTCGGGCCTACAGAATGTGTGCTAGTAAGCGACTGCAAAACGAACCACCTCTCGTTCTTCGAGACTCCACACGAACAAATGACGTTGCGATTTAAATCGAGGGAGCTGGGCCTCGAAGACAACTCGGCCGCAAATCTCCCATCAAAGCTCGTTATGACCAGTTTCAATACAGAACATTTGCGTTATTGGTTTTCCTGCTGCCACATTAGACACAACGAAAAATAATTGCACATTCATCGATGTCATCGATAATTTCTAACGAACCCTGCCAAAACACGCAGCAGAAGCTCGGACGCGGCTGTGTTGCAAGAAACGAATTTTCGAGGCCATGCGTCGGGCTCTTAGGCACGGGAAGCGAGGCCATGCGTCGGGCGGTTAGGCACGGGAGGTGAGGTCATGCGTCGGGCTCTTAGGCACGGGAAGCGAGGCGATGCGTCGGGCTCTTAGGCACGGGAAGCGAGGCCATGCGTCGGGCTCTTAGACACGGGAAGCGAGGCGATGCGTCGGGCTCTTAGGCACGGGAAGCGAGGCCATGCGTCGGGCTCTTAGACACGGGAAGCGAGGCGATGCGTCGGGCTCTTAGGCACGGGAAGCGAGGCCATGCGTCGGGCGGTTAGGCACGGGAGGTGAGGTCATGCGTCGGGCTCTTAGGCACGGGAAGCGAGGCCATGCGTCGGGCTCTTAGACACGGGAAGCGAGGCGATGCGTCGGGCTCTTAGGCACGGGAAGCGAGGCCATGCGTCGGGCGGTTAGGCACGGGAGGTGAGGTCATGCGTCGGGCTCTTAGGCACGGGAAGCGAGGCCATGCGTCGGGCGGTTAGACGCGGGAAGCGAGGCGATGCGTCGGGCTCTTAGACACGGGAGGTGAGGTCATGCGTCGGGCTCTTAGGCACGGGAAGTTTATCGCTTTTGAAACGCCACCTTAGCGTGCCCTAAGGTGAAGGAATTCAATCTTTTGATCAGGTATGTTGTAACGGATTTGTGACTGGCGTTGAAAATCGTGGGCTTATGGTGCATCCATTTGGAGGCTGGAGCGAAATAAAGTAAGGGAGTGCACCGTTACCCCCTCCCCCTCCCTCCTTTCCAGCAAACAGCGGCGAGTTTATGCCAGCTAACCGGAGATCGTGCGTCTTCAGCAGTCCGGCCCTAACTGTCCCGGCCTGGCCCAGCCCGGCCACTCACGTCTTTACCAAGCTTGTGTCTCTCCAACCAGTGGCTGGGCTGCCATGTCGTTTGCAGCAACAAATCGCAATGTTCTTTTAAAGGATGTTCTGTAATATTCGCATGGCATTTGTAAGCAAGCCGATCGATCCACCATGTTTTTTATTTTATTTTTGCCCATTGCGATGTCGTTTGGCTGAAACAGACGTGGACCGAAACAGGCAGCCCGGGGTACAGTGACACCAGTACGACACCGTTTGATAGGGAGATCATGGGCACATTTATGGGCAAAGGTTTTGGTGTATACGTGCACCTGGCCACGCGCTCTTGAACACAAACTTTATGTCGCCCGCGTAGGAAGTTCTAAGGGTGCCAGAAGGTACCGGGAGAGTGCCAGAAGGCAACGGAAAGGATTGCTGTTCCCTTCAAGCTCGGTTGGTAGAACACTGGACTCGCAATCGGAAGACCAAGGTTCCAATCCGAGCAGTGAACTCGTGGAGAGAACTCAAGGAGAGAACTGGTGACGCCGAGACGCACACACGGCTGAAAGCCAAACACTATTCAGGCCTTGTCAGGACTCGGTAACACACCACGACGGCCGGAGCAGTAGCTGGCTGAGACGTTATATACAAACCAGCACACCAAACAAGAGCGCTAGTCCGAACAATTATTCCATTCGTTATACTGGCATCTCGTCTTAACCCTCCCACAAAACCTAAGAAGATATGGGGTTCCAAATAAGGGAATTTAAAGTGTAAAATAAAAAGTAAGTGATCAGCAAGGGTAGAAAACGCAGAGAACTTGTTTGACGCGCACCAACGTCCACGGTTAGGCGTTTCAACATCAGGGATCACATTAACGCCTGTTATTTTTTCACTCGCGCCATTAGCGAGGCCGGGACGGCTACTGGTGTTTATTTATAAATTATTACTAGTTAGAGGTCGAGAGAGTTGTTTGGACTACGTAAACGTTTTCGGCTTGAACGGCCGGAGCCATCCACGTTGGGCTTCATGATTTCTAGAATTGATGTCTTTCCGATGCTTTATTGTATCACATTGGACAGTGCACCGCTATGCCACTCGCTGACAGCCATGGCCTGACTTTGACCTCCCATAGGGGAGTGATCTTACAACGTGCATCTAATTTTTACGTGAAAACGTAGCCTAGTTTTCTACAGCCATGCAAAGTTTGGCATAACTACGCCACGCCTTTCGGAAATTATTCTGGAAAACAACTTTGAGGGATGCGAATTGAGCCCCCACCCACCCGGGTCATGGAAGATGTTGGGAGGGATTTGGGTCAGTCGAATTCTGAGCTCCATAAAAACAAAAGCTGCTCATTTCACTGGCTTTGCCAGCATGTCAAATGTTGTACACAGTTTTTATTCTCCAGTTGTTTTCATAGCTTGAGCTAAGTGGTCTCTGTTGAAACCAAGCTAAGATCCAGATCCCGAGCTGCAGAATAAGGTCGGCTACAGTGTTGAGGTACTCAACATTTCCGCACTGATTCTGTGTTCAGACGAAGCTGCCATATAATATTGCTGCCTATAATATATTGTTTATGAAAGGGTGCGTCTATTAGTTTGTATGTTTGTCTGTTTTAGTTCTTACTTGTTGGTCTGCGTGTAGGTTGGAGAGATTGCTCCATATTTGCATGGAGTTTTGAATCGAGATAGTCATCTTGGAGATCATCCATCGTAATTCACAGCCGTGCCCATAGTAAGATCTCAAGCCGTCTTGCTCTTAAGCTTGACTCATGTGCAGCTGTGCAGCTTTTTCAAGCAGCTAATTTAAAGGCCACCCAAACATAATGGCCATCTAATGTTCCAAGCCAAGAAAAATATAATCATCGAGTTATTCGTGTCCGACGTTCGTAAACACGATTCCTGACATCAACGGGCAGAAGTTGCCCTGCAACCAGTCAAATGCGTTGAGCACGAGCTTCGAACACGATTATTGGCTATTTTGTTAACTGGACTAGAGCCTTTTCGGAGAGTCATGACAATATCAGGACTATGGAATGTAGGATAATGGATGGCGGTGGGGTAGGACTGCACGCACCTGGGGACCCATCTGTCACGATCGAGCCCATAAAGGGTGCTCTCAGCGGGAGTGTGCTCGGTGCTCGAACGGGCGTCACCATCAGAGGACACTGCGGATCGCTCGTGGCTAGCGCATGCGGCCTTCCTCGAACAAGCGTGGCGTCGCGAGCATGCGGGATAAAGCGAGAA